ATCGTTGGCTGTAATTTTCAAATTCACTAACTTCTGATTAAGCAGTTTAAAATATACATAAACAGCGTTGATACACCTTCTGTTTTTCTTCTGTAAAGCCTACGAGGAGTGTGATACCAGCCTTGTGTCTAATTCACCTTCATCCATAGTGTGTTTATGTCAACAGTTGAACCTTCCTTAATATATTTGAAAATGACCATGACTTCTGAGTGAGCAACTTGTACTCTGGTAAGAAAGGACTGCGGAGTTATCGGCAAAAATCAGAAAATGTCAAATAAAACAAAAGATTACACGTTTAAAACGATTTCCGTCCTAGTTTGGGACTCTTCAGCAGTGCGCGAACACCACAGGGGTTGGAACCCAAGACCTTCTGGTTACAAGGCGAGCCCGTAGACCATTGAGCCACTGGGACCCGATCCAATGGTCACCGCGTGAATTCTTACTTCTGGCAATTCACGACATAGCGCGACCATTTCGCAATGTCTTCTTTGATGAGTTACTGCCTCATCTTCAACCTGCTGTACCCTACTGGTCACGGCTTCACACTAGAACCCCAGGTTAACTGCCTGAAGAGGGCAGTCGCTAGTGAGCATCCAATTAATTTTCAAGTATTGGTTTTGTATTGATTTTGTTTGATTGCATGGAGGATTTCATCATGAGGCAGTAACTCATCGAAGAAGACATTGCGAAATTGCCACGCTATGTCGTGAATTGGCGGAAGTTAGAATTCAAGGACCATTGCATCGGGTCCCAGTGGCTCAATAGTCTAAGAGGTCGCCTTGTAACCAGAAGGTCTTGGGTTCAAACCCCGGTGGGTTTGTACTACTGAAGATCCCCAAGCTAGGACGAAACAGCTGTCCAGTACTCCCTGGTGGTTTTCCAGTGGTTCTCTAACTGATGTCAGCTCATGCTGAAATCCTCTATGCAATCAAACAAAATCGTTACAAAACCAATACTTAAAACGATATTATTCTCTGGATTTTCTGCTACTCAAGAGAAACGTTTTCCAAAATGGACTTTATCATGATTCAACAGATACTGAAGAACCACTGGAAAGTAGGCTGCACACGATATCTGTTTCCTTCTAGTTTGAGACTCTTCAGATCAACCCGAAGGTCTGAAAGTTTTTGGCGTATGTTGACAAACAATCCCCAAATAGCTACCCATCGCTGTATGGTTTTCAATTGTTCTGTAATTGATATCTGTTCGTGACGATTTCTGCCGCGAAATCAACTAAACACCTATAACCCAAAACCTTATTTTTTTTTAAATCGCCTTAAATAATATGAGCCTTTATACTAAAGAGTACAGTGCCAATAGCTTCCTACTTTCCTTTTACTCTTACTGTCTATCCATACAGTGCAATGTTAAATAAACAGTTCCAAAGTGGAATAAAGTCCACTTATTGATTTGTTTGTTTGTTTGTCTGTATGTTTGTTTGTTTGTGTTTGTTTAACTGAAGTGGTCATTAAGACTACCATTAGAAATTCTTTATTCACCGAAACCCATGTGATTCTTTCAAGTGAAATATTTTCTCCCACGACTTTTAGAAATATGGAATAGAACAGGTAGGCTTATACGAGTTCATCAGTGTCACGTGATATTTTCGGTAGTAGTGATCATATTGGTTATTAAGTACAAATGTCTTTACGATTGTAATGGACAGATGGAAGACTGGAAATATAATTAAATGATAGATAAGCCGCCTGAGATGCCACACAGAACAGTACTGGTTAATATATATATATATATATATATATATATATATATATATCACTGTATGTACAGTATTCAGTCAAAGAATTCTACTGAAATGTGATGAATACATTAAATCCTGCTTTATTAATATTTGTTGCTTGTTTTAAATTCGCGTCGAGAGATGAATGTTTTCAAACAAAACTCCATTTGTTCAGGGACTTTCAACCAAACCACACATGATCGGCTTCCAGCAGACATTCATTAGTCTCTGTGGTCATGAGAAGCATTTCGTTTGAGGTCATCTATAAAGAAATTACCTTACTACAGCCCGAAAGAACGGCATATATAGTCTAGTTGTTGATTGTCTAATGTTAAATTAATGATCAATTCTATGAAGATTGTGTATCCTTTCTTAGCGTGATCTCTAAACATATTTCAGGAATTCACACTGATATATGCAATCCATAATATTTGCAATTAATAGTGTTCTCTGAGCTGGTTGGTTTGGTTGCGGAGCTTTCGTCGTCCCCCTTCTGGACAACATCTTCAGCGCAATATTTAGCATAAAGTGAAATGATTTAAATTTCTTCATGAGTGATATAATTGCGTCTCCTGTTAACCATCTTTACATATATATTGACCATTTTCTGTTGACTTGGATTTTAAACTTTCTGGTCACCCTTTTTTTTCCTTCACGTTCCCCAGTGGAACATAGGGCTTCAAGCTAGTGGCTTGAAGTTTCTGTAGCAGTGCTTATTTTTACAGGATGGGGTTGCTAGCCTCATGCTCAAACTTTCCTCTTCACCAGCATTATTTCTGGCTTAGCGAGGTAAAGGAGTGCGTCGGCCGGGGATTGAACCCCGGACCATGTGCATGGTTGGTGAGCGTCCTAACCGCTATGCCACCGACGCACTCTGGTCAGCTGATTTACTTTTTATTAGTTGGTATATTTCGTCTATATTAAGGTGTTTGTTAATTGCATTTTCGTTTGAGTACCAGGCTTCTAGGAATTCCCTGGCACTTTTGGTGTTTCCTCTGTCTAAGATTTCGACTTTATCCCAATCAAATTGATGCCCATAATTTTCTACATGCATTGATATGAAAGAATATATATAGTGTCTTTTCACGGCTGATTTGTCTTCTTGGATTCTAATTCGAAGGGGACGCCCGCTTTGGCCGATGTAATGCCTGTTACAGTTCATGCTTTAGAATTAATTTTGTAAATGGTATTAATTTTATCTCCTTTTTTCTGTTGGATCTTTTGGTTTGCATAATATCGAATTAAGCGATTTGACTTACTTGTGTGCTACATCTCTATCAAACGGTTTCAGGATTCTAGTATTCTATTTCTAGATCCAACAGAAAAAGGAGATAAAATTAATACCATTTACAAAATTAATTCTAAAGCATGAACTGTAACAGGCATTACATCGGCCAAAGCGGGCGTCCCCTTCGAATTAGAATCCAAGAAGACAAATCAGCCGTGAAAAGACACTATATATATTCTTTCATATCAATGCATGTAGAAAATTATGGACATCAATTTGATTGGGATAAAGTCGAAATCTTAGACAGAGGAAACACCAAAAGTGCCAGGGAATTCCTAGAAGCCTGGTACTCAAACGAAAATGCAATTAACAAACACGTTAATATAGATGAAATATACCAATTAATAAAAAGTAAATCAGGTGACCAACAAATCTTCGGAAGGAGATGGAGATGGGTTGGACATGCGTTGAGCAAACCGCTGAGTGACATTACACCCTAGGCCGTGGAGTGTAACCCAAACGCAAAGCGACTAGAAGCATGTACAAGGGTGGTAAAGAAGCGAATATGAAAGCTTGCGGGCAGTCGTAGAGCTAGGTGGAAATAATGACGGAGAACAGAGTTCAGTGGAGATGTGCTGCTGGGTTCCTTGAGTTCCAGGTGGAACCACAATAAGCGAAATAATCGATGCTTCCAAATATTTTCACAACTATAATCTAGCTAAACTATTTCCCACATGCCATCCACATTACAAGAAATGAATTAAAAATAACTCTATTGTTCCAGTAAGAACGGAGATAACCATGAGCTGGGTACTCTAGTATTGAAGTGTTTAGCTTACAACCGTGCAAATAACATGGATTTTCCCCAAGACTTTAAATATACATAAGTGATGGGTGTGTGTAAGCACAAATATAGGTCTAGGGACGCCTGCCTATCGAGGCCTACCAACATGTAAATATGAGTGAACAGGCTAACTGAACAGGCATTTTATTCAGGTCATTTTCGCAGTAATTAGACAAAACTCATGGGCCGTTGTATTCTGAATGGTCAACGAACTCGTCTCATAACCTCAAGGTCGTTTGTTGGCTGTATCTCCACTGAAACCATTCATGCTAACCATTGAAGAGCCCCAAAATAGGACGAAACAACTGTCCAATACCCCCTGGTTTTCAGTGATCCTCTGAATGATACAAATCCATGATCAAAGTTGAAACACTTAATAAATCTTATAAAATATTTTGCTTAGATATCCTCTGATCCTGTGTATTCAACTGCAACTGAGGTAGAACTCAAAAACCGTTAAACATCCAGGAACCCACACTAGACATCTGTGTTATTCCTTATGTATCATGCCCAATAATATGACCACTTTCAAAACTCTACCGCCAAATATTCCAGTAAAATCACCTATGCCATAGAATGTTAAAAATCACAAAGCTGAATATCAAAACACTTGACACAATGATGCTCGCTAGTGACTTGCTACAGGTTGGAGCTTCCTGCAGTTCTAGTGAGAAGTCGTGACCAGTGAGGTCCAATTAGAAGTCACGTGTGGATGGATTTCCACCAACGACAATAGTTGGGGTCGCGCTAAAATCACGCATTGGTAGAAGTTAGAATTCAGGAGCCATTGAATCGGGTCCCAGTGGCTGAATGGTATACGAGCTTGCCTTGTAACCGGAAGGTCCTGGGTTCGAATCCCAGTGGGTGCGTACTGCCGATGATTCCCAAACCAGGATGAAACAGCAGCTGTCCAGTACTCCCTGATTTTCAATGGTTCTCTAACTGATATCAGTCCGTGATCAATTCGTAAAAGATAACACATGTGTAAAGAGAAAGCTGCATTTCATTTCTTATGAATAAAAATGATAAAAGAGAAGAAATAAGAAAATGTCACTGACTCCTAAAAAAAGAAAAACAATTATTCATCTTCTGTCATTAGGATTAATATGATGTTTATTTTATATGCCTTGACAAACATCTGTTAAACCCACAGCATGCACCAGAGATCAGTTGACACAAAGTTCATCGGCCTATTCATAAAGATTTTGTCTTCTTAGTAGTTTGGATTGATTTCTGCGAAAAAGGAAACAAAAAACAACAAATTATGTATATATATATTAAGGTGAATACTATTTTAAGCTGCCTATTTGAAATGCATAAGATTGAATAAAAAGCAATTAGTTCGCCTTATGTGAATTTCCACAAAACAATACGATGCGAAATTAATCCGAAACGTGTGTGTGATGTATTCGAACATTCTGATCATACATGTACTTGTCATGGATAGATATTAATATAGAAGACAACAGAACATAAGGGATCACAGTTCTTGTAAGTCAAAGTGTTTACGGGTCGCGATCACAGAATCTGTCTTCGTAATCTAATTTTATGGCCAAGTTCATTTTTATAAAAGTTTTCGCACTTCCCAATGAATGAAAAACAAAACGAGACTGTTTTTACTGATGTTTTGGTATTTAATGCTCCTAATAGCTTTATCAAAGTATAATTATACCAGAATTTACGAAATCTCAGACTATATATAACAACTTATTCATCGTTCATCAGCATGGAGTAATTTTTACGTTATGAAGTTGGCTAATTGGTAACATAATAAAACTAGGTGTGGATTGTTGGGTTTATTTATTTATTATTATTATTGTTTCCCTTAATTCCTAGAGGAACATAGGGCTTCAGCCGTGCGTCTCCATTGCGTTTGGTTCTCTACTAGAGTCTTCACCTGGCTCCAAGTCTGACCACACACGTTTTCATCTCCTCTTCACATGACCTCCTCCAAGTCACCCTTGGACGACCCATTGTTTGTGGGTGCATAGCATTGTATAACTGACACTTTCCTTCCTTTGGAGTTGAATCTGGCGGTCATAATCCTGGGCGAGATCGCCTCCCATTGCATCAGGGCCTTCGTTGCCGTCGGTGACATCATGATAGCCACACCCTCGGTGTGCATATGGTTATCCTCTGGGTGACCGGAGTAGATCACTGACTCACCCGTTGACCATTTGGTGAGTCCATTTCCGTTCCATCTGCTTTCACATATCCCCAGTACTTGAATTCCGTATCTTTTCATTTCGTTTACGATCCGGGCAACTTTGCCAATCTCGTACATGGTGCGGACATTCCATGTCCCCACACAGACATTTTCTTTTGGCGCAAGGAGATTCATCGTGCTGAGGTTTCTGTAGCAACTTTGTTTACAGCGTGGAGTTGCTAGCCTCACGCCTGAGAAGGGGATTGTTACATTAAAATGTAGTTTAGAGAGAAGCGACCGTGTGGTTCGCTCCCCTTAAAACCAGGAAAACAGGGAATAAAACAATCAGAACAACACCAGCACAGGAAAATAATTCACAACAAGAAGGGTAACAAGCGACAACAACAATAATAATATCACAGTCAAGTACAGTTAACCAAAATGATACCAAAATCATAGGCTCACTGGCCTGAGCCAACTTAAACATGTAAATATATCAATATATACAATTACAGATATTAGTTATTGTTTAACAAGCACAGAGTGGAAAATAGACAGTTATAGGTACTATCGATAAACAATATTACATCCAAGGATTCAGTGTTTTAAAGGCAAATAACTGCAATAGTTTTTTGCAACTTTTTGGCAAGATATTTCACAAAAATAAGAGTTTTATGTAACAATGTTAATGTAACGTGGTAATCGAATTTGGATTTGATAACTGTATAAAATTATAAAAGTAGCATGTGTTTACATAATGAAATTACTTATCGTATTCGTGTTGATTTCGTCATTTCATGGAGGAGGGCGGTGTTGCAACCAGGTCAAATTCTGTTTTAGTCCATCATTCTTATTCAAACATTTTGGATTCCTTTTTGATGTAGTTGTGTTCTCTGAGCTGGATGGTTTATTTGCGAAGCTTTCATTGCCCTACTAGGCAACATCTCCAGAGCATGCTTCAATTTGGATTCCACTTAATATTAAGTGCTTCTGATATTACACATTCTTTGTGATTTTTGAAATTTTTCTGGATTATTTCAATATTGTCAAAATCAACTTTGTCACCTAATTCTATAGCGTGTAGACCTATGGCTGGTGATTTTTCAAGCTTTTCTAATTCAACTGGATTTCTCCGTGGTCGAACAGTGTCCATTTCTTCTAATCTTCATTCCAGACTTCTGAAGATTCTTATTCTACGATGAAAATTCAGCCCAGTGATAACTGATTTCGAATAGTTCTTCAATTAATTCTAATCGTCAAAGTAATTTAAAATTAGTCAAAACAAACAGATAGTTGAGAAGTGAAAATTCGCCCGATCGACTTCATTGCTTGACTTTCATCCCACTCATTTTGTTCTTGGCGACATAGTCACTATGACTCATAACCGAGAATATAAAATCTCTGCTCTGCATAAATGTTTGTAGCCAACTTACCTAACAGGTTCAGTACTTTCTGCCATTACAGAAGCACTCAAATTAAGCAAATAGTCAGCATTGTTTTCAGGCGGTAGATTCAACTGATCAATCAAATCTTGCGGTGTTGGTCCTGGATCTCTGACACCTGAATCACGTTGTATAGCTTGTGTTCTTAATTTACTGTCGTGTCAAGAAAAAAATAGAGACAAAAGCATAAATGAATAAACAAATAAATAATTTCATCAAAATGAATAGACTTAAAAATCTTTTGAAGTTCGACCATTTAGAGGCAATGTTTCGTTTTAGTTTCGTCTATTTATTATGACTCAGCAGTAAAACTCGTCTGCATGTGTAATTAAACTGACACCTGTTCTCAGAGACTTATACTAGTTAGTAACTTACCTCCAGAGGAGTCCTTATTCACCTGAATTACGCATTCCTGCCAATCGCATAACTAATAATAATCACTTTATTCCAAACAATATTATTGCATTCGCTTCAGTTGATTCTCATTTATGTCAAAAGGGATCCAAACAAAAAGCAGTAAAACATAAATTGTCAAAAATAACCATTAAAAAGTGCGAACATAAATTGAATCCGTTATCAAGTGTTGCTTTGGAGGACTGTTGGAAGACGACATCTGTTTCGTCGTAATTCGGGACTCTTCTTCATTAAACACCCACCGAATGGGTTACCAGTAGCTGAACGGTCTACGAGCTCACCTTTTAACTAGAAGGTCCTGGATTCGAACTCAGACGGTTGCCTACTGTTGAAGAGTTCCAGTGCTTCCTGAATTTCCAATGAATCTCTAACTGATGTCGACTCGTTATCAAACCTGTACTAAATTGGATTCGACTAAACAGTGGGAGTAAATCTCTGGCAGCCAACATATACACACATCAGTATAGTAGCTAGCCAACTATTCTATAAGGCCAACAATTCAAATGTGACTGAATACATACACACTTTTTTGACTTCTATCCTAGTTGATTTCTCTTCTTGCTGAAATTAATCCACTCGTAGTCATATGCTAATATGGATCAGCTTGCATTTTGAAATGAATGATTCCCTCAACTTGTCCTATCTCTGTATTGTGTAATTTATAAATGAAATTTATGTGAATGTTTTCTACAAAAGTGGCCTAAGTTGCATGCAATTGGAGAATCACTTTCAAGTTCTCAGAATACTAACAAGAGACTAAGGTGAATACTCATCACTTTTGAAGATAGAAATTTACCTTTTTCACCATCTGATTCAAAAGGATCACGTTTGTATCTGACATGTTGCAATTTAACCGGATAATTTCACAGAGCTGTGTAGTGATTTCACACGTGTGTGTGTGTGTCTGCTGAATAAGGAATTCAAGCTATTGCATGTTATTACTTAAATCTATGATGAATGTCATTGTCAGTATGCGGTTAAAAGTCGATCAGTATACTCCACATGGAATATTATCAAATAGTGGGAAGGAAACAGTCTAGTTGGTGACTTTATATTTTTGAATTAAAACAAAACCATCAACTTTCATTATTCAGGTTGTAAGCAGTTGACGAAATGAAATGGATCCATTTTATCCTGCTAATGTATACATATTGTTATTTCATTGCTAAGGGGGATTGATGTATGAAAGTAAAGATAAGTCAGCTTAAATAGGAAGTCAACTTCCTTAGTCGATGGCGATAAACATCGACTAATGGAACATACAAGACACTTTGCGTTCCAAACACTACAAAATGCCTTTTATTTGCTTCGTTTCTCCTCTCCACCCTAATCTTATTTAATGGTTCCCTAACTCACAAACTTAACACAACTGAAAGTTCTTCTAACCCGTTTAGTTTCCTCCATTTTAAAAATATTGGACTTTGTTCCAGTAGCTGAATAGTCAACGAGCTTACCTGGTACTCTGAAGGTCCTGAGCCTGATCCCTAGTGGGGTCATGAGTGGGTACTGTTGAAGAGATCCAAACTATGGGAAAACAGCTGTCTGGTACTCTTTGGCTTTCAGTATTCCCAGTGGTTCTTTAACCAGTGTCAGCTCATAATGAAATCCTGTTACCAATCAGTCAAATCCCTACAAACCAGTACTTGAATATCAGTGAGATGCTCACTGGCGACTGGTCCTATTCAGGTAGTTACCTGGGGTTACAGTGGGAAGTCGTGACCAGTAGGGTGCACTAGGTCGGGTGTGAGGAGAAATACTGGCCGAAGGCATTGGCTAGCGGTTGCGCTATGTCATGAATTGGCAGAAGTTAGAATTCATGGGCCATTGAATTAGCGGGTCCAAGTGGCTAGCTCGCCATGTAGCCAGAAAGTGCTAGGTTCGAACCGAAGTGGTGTGTGCGTACTGCTGAAGAGTCCCAAACTAGGACGAAACAGCTGGCCGTCCAGTACTGCCTGCAGGTTTACCAATGGTTCTCTAACCAATCTCAGCTCATGATGAACTCCTGTAGTCAAAATCACTCCTAATTTGATATCAATGAAATCTCTACAAATCATCTCTTGCAAACATGGTTAGCCAAAATAATTTCCAGTATACAACATTCAGATATTTTTAAAACAAATTGTATCTTTAATAAATTGAATTCAAATAATATTTGTTTAACCCTGTTATACAATGAACCATATGGTGTTTTGTTTATTTAATAATGATTTACGATCATAAGAGTTTAAAACTAATAGGCATGTAAAAAAGCGAACCGATCTCAAAAATCTGATACACGTGTTTAACACTACTAACAAATTGGTGAATGCTTCTTTGCGTATATATATATAAGCTAATTTATTGCACCTAACTATGGTGAACATGTGAATTCGATAAAAGCATTAGGATCTGTCAGTCAGCTTACAGAGAGTAAACATTTCCTATGATGTGCCGATCATTTGTTCAGTACAAGTGTATAATGCATAAATCCGAATTGTTTTGACTGATGGATGGAAAGTGTGAGAAACTTGACTGTACTTTCTAAGGTTCATTCTCTTATTCATCATCATATATATTACATATATGCATCTCCGTATGACAGATTCACGACAATGTAAATGACATACACTAAACCAACATCACTTTATTCACCTTGAACCGACTTATTGAAGCATACTTTTTTTCAAAAAAGGAATATCAACTACAATATTGAAGATCAATAAAAAAAGAATTGGTAAATATGGTTTACTTTAAGGTCATGTGATCACACATTCTACACGGTGGACGAAAAATATCTATACTTAATGAGAAATCAAAATGCATAAAATTATGCATTCATGTAAGTATTAATAATATACGTTAACTGAACAGGAAACACATACATGGCACTTAGTGTGAGTAAACAAAGTCCGTATGTCGACAGTTTACACTCAATTAATAGATTGGTGATAGTAGTAGTAGTAGTAGTAGCAGTAATAATAATAATAATAATAATAATAATAATAATAATAATACATTTAATTGCTTGCCCCATGAAATCCCGGAAAAACGCAAAACAGACATTTTATCTTAAGGTTAGTTCTGTGCAGTTATCATCATACTTGAATTTGTTGGATTTTGTATGATTAATTCTTTGATGCATCCAGGAATTAACAGAGACAGTGTCCTGTACACCGAAATTCAGACTGGGCAACAGTGTTCTCAGTATGTTGTTGATCTAGTGATCTGTTCAAAGAAATGATTATCGAGATGACGTGTCACACCTCAACCAGGTGTATGGGGAACACCATCGAATGTGAGACTGTTCCTTCCTTATTGATTTTCGTGCTGTTGAACACATTCAGTCCTGACAGCCGACTTCACGGTCTCAGTGCAGCTTTCGTCACGAACCAACAGCATTTAGAGAATTATTGAAGACCAGGAAGAAGACTGGACAGCTGTTTTGTCCTAGTCTACAGCAGAAAGCACCAGTCACGCAACCAGGGATCCGAACCAGGACTTCTAGGTTATGAAATGAGTCAGCTGGTCATTCAGCCACTTGAACTGGATTCCAGTGACTGCAGATTTATCTGTTTGTCATATACCCCTGATGCCAAGCAGTGCCACTGATAAACATCTCCTTTTCTTTGACATCGTGGACTCCATTAGCCATGACGTCTCACTACAGCTTCAGGACATCTGTCCAGTAACTGACACTGAGATAGAGATTGATATTAGATGATGGGTTTTGTAGAGATTTGGAATAATTTTAGTGGACTTATTTGGAGAAAAACTGAAAACCACAGATAATAGGACTGTCGTTTCGTCCTAGTTTGAGATTCCTCAACGCTGTGCACCGACAACCCCACTGAAGACCCAATTCAGTAACTCCAGATTACAAAGCCCTTCCAACATTCTGCCACTGGGTTGGAATTAAATTATCCAATGAAGTCTACACTCTGTCAATTCTTGATATAGTACCACCGTCAACCAGTCCCATCGAGTCAGCGTCGATTTCACACACTACTTAAAGGAATCCATAGGCACTGCTGCTAAAGAGTCCCAAGCCAGTTCAAAATGCCTGTCCAGTGCTTTCTGATTTTCAATGAGTCCCGTGATTATGTCAATTTGTAAAGAAATCTCTGTTGTAAATGCATTTGTTTAAGGTTTCATGTTTTTAGGTGAGCCGCAAAAATTCTCAAACTATGACAGAAGAAATATTGCTTAGATGGTTGTGTTTAATTTTCAAAAAACAAATCTTTAAGTGGTATAATCACACGTATACGCACGCACGCACGCACGCACACAAACACACATCTTCATATTGATTAATTCCACAAGTTATGCATCTAATTAAATGTAGAAGAAAGAGTAAATTAGGCATCTTCATCACATTATATCCATTATCCTAATGAAGTGCTTCTTTCTTTTTTTAAAGTGAGCAAAAATGACACTAGAAATTAGAAATTTTTCAAACTTATCAAAATAAATCATGTGCAAAAGCAATCGAATGCATAGAATCACAACTAGCTAAGGGCGAAATGAACATTCATTCAAGAGACAAAAAAATACTACTACTACTACTATTACTACTATTGATGGCTATCATATTATTTTTGACCACCTGTCAAATATTTACCATGTCAACTTGTCATATCATATCACAGTTAGTAAATGTCTGTTTTGTAAGTTAGAGCTGCGAGGCTTAAGGCAGTGGAGATGATGAAAGAAGTATCAAGCGAAACAAACACATACAATACTGTCGAAGGTTGAGTTGAATC